TGAATTAAGATTATGTTGGTAGTGGGTTTTTATTTTAATGTATTATGATATGATCCCTTGTGCAATAATACAACTGCTGAACTAAGTATATTGTACAGATTTTTTGTTCTACACAATATTATTTTATAGTTAAAAAAATTCCATGGAAAGACAAGTTTAATATTAGATCTTGTGAAATAAAAATCCTACCTAAAGAAAGTTACAGAAGTACCATACATTTGAAAACAACTAAAGCATAACCCCTAAGAAATCTTGAAAGACCTCCATTAAATTTGTCCAAGTTTTCGAAATTTATTTCGTATAAATTTACGGAAAGAAAAATGAAAAACGCCATTCGAGATGTAATTCTATATTTAGTAATTGGTATATTAATTGCAATAATTCTATCTATCTAACTCTAAGTATCTACTAATTAGAGAAGTTGTGTGTCTTTTTGGAACAGGGGCATGGGACCTCAATCAAAGCGCAAAGTACAAGTTGGCGGCAGCATCTTAGTGGGCCTGGCCCAGTTTGTCGTGGTCCCTTTTGGTTAGAGGAAATTATATAGAATTGATTATTTATACCCCTTTTCAAATTATTTATCCCTTTTTAATGGTTGCAAATTGGAGAATTAGAGCATTAGGAAAACGTTACAGCCTTACAGGTCATGCTACATTTTTAGAAGGATACATGACAAACACATGTTACTGCATTTCCTATAATATTATCAAAATAAATAATTAAAATTTTATAAATACACAATCCGGTATGTCAGTTGGTAAATCAATCCGACAAATTAGACTAACTTAAAAATTATATAGTAGGTAAGTCGTAATATATTTAATTGATTTTAAGATAGTGATTAAAATAGATGATGAAGGGCATATGATAAAGTCTCAAATACATAAACCTTTGTAGATTGAAAGTGAAAAGTTAATTATTGGCCTTGTTTGGCATGTCGAGAGATGCAATTGAATATAATATTTTTGAAAGAAATTTTCTAGCAAAATAAAATAGATGAAATGAAAAAAAAAAAAGATTAACAGTGAAATATTTATGAAATTGTTATTTGACATAAAAAAAAATATAACAGTGAAAAAAATTAATTATTATTGATTGTTACAAGTATGTGTGAGGGAATAATGTTTTTTTTTAAAAAAAAATGAATATGCCTTTATTTTTAAATTGGGATGATGAAAATGAGGAAAAACAGTGAAACAGAATGAATCTTATATTCTTGTGATTTTTTTTATTTAACCATAGACTAGTACACTACCCGTGTAAATACACGGGTGTTGAATTAGGAAGCATATGTACAAAATATTTTTTTAACTAAAATAATTTAATTTTATATAAAAATTACTTTGGGTTTTAATTAAATTTTCATATTAAATTTTTTAATCATAATAATTAAACACTCGTACATTAAATGAAAATGTCAACTCATATTGAATTTTTTTACTTATATCATAAAAAATGATCGATATTTTTTACTATTACATAAATACAAAAATATATATATCTTCAATAAATAGAAATAATATGGTGATATGTATATGCATAAATGTAGGATATGTTTGTTTAATATTAAGCAAAATAGATTAATTTTTTACTTAATTAGATGCCTAATACATCAAGTGTCGTATCAGTCGTGCTTCACAGTTTTTTAACTTTATATGTAATTTTAGAATTTAGATGAATAATTATTTATTTTTATTAGATTGACAACATACCAATTAGATTTGAAATAAACATCATTTTTAAAAGAATACATACTAATTTCAATTACTGTATAATATAATTAATAGTTTTATTTGATATCATTTAATTTAGTTTGATAAATAAATTTAAATTTTATTTATAAGGATATATATTACTGTTTTGTATTTAACATATATAATATGGATGTCAAATCGAAAATCGTTAAAAGATAATTAATTTGATATATCATATTTAGAAAATAAAATACAAACAAAAAAATTATAAAATCTTAAAATAAGAAGAAGAAACATTTATAATAACTAATGAATGAATTATATAAAAAAATGAAATGTGATGTATAGTAATGTAGGATTTAAGAAAAGGAAACATAAAATAGTTTATGCTAATTAATTATAGAAGTAAAGAAGGAAAAAATCAATCATGGATTTAGTGTGATAAAAAATATTAATATATATTCAATCCTAACTTCAAAGCATGGTTTTGTCAAATATGATTGCGAATTCTGAAATTATATATAAAGGGAATAATTAATATAAAGACCCATTTGAAAAATATAAAAACATTAATTCCTATTTTCATAAATGTTAATCATCTTTTGCCACCATTAACCAGAGTGAATGTATTCCGAAATTTCTAAAAGAGCCAATGCATGTTATTATTGTTATCCAATTCCTCTCACATACTTTTACACTATATATGCATTCATGCATTTCGTTTAGTATTTTTGTCTAGCAATTTTTTTTAGTGGTATATGTTAATAAAATTTTATTCCACCATTTAAAATATAATTTTAAACTAAATCTAAAAGTACATACGTAAAAAAGTATATTAAAGTATGATTAAATACAAAAGATTCCAAATTGACACGGACATCTAACAAAATAAAAATTAAGTAATTATACACGTTAGCTACTTAATTAGAATAGGATTACCACAAATCAAATAGTATATATAATATAATTTTTATCCGAACTAAAAGCTGAACCATGTGATATTGTCAAATAAGCTTTCGAAACGTGCGAGTCAGCCATTTAAGCTCATAATGTTTTCAATTATATTAATATATATATATTAAAGGGGGATGTTAATTGGAGAAAAAAAATTTATCAGCCGAGATGAAAATTAACCGAACTTATATCCAATCCCATCTGGAGATGTGCATCATGACATGGATGTAAAACAATCTTGTGGTGGGCCACACGAAATATAGAGTTATGGGCCCAAAATAATGTCGTCAACCCACCACATTTGGTGGATGCGTTTATTGCACAATTTTTTTTGTTTATTTATTTATGTTTTTCACATCTTATCAACTCCATCTAAAGGGGTCCCAAATGGATGATATTTTGTTTCCCCTAATTTATGGTGAAAAATTGACAACCAAAGTTAACTTTTTACTTGTTAAAGGCTTGATTAGTTGATTTACTATGAATTTGTTCAAACCTAATTCTGGTTTATATTTTTGAACTACTTTTGAATATTATATATATTATATGCAGTGGAAGTATTCATTACGCCTACGGCAAGAGCATATGTTGAAAATATGCCAATTAATAGTGAAATTAAAAAAGAGTACTTCAATAGAATTGAAAAGAGCAAAAATTCTATGGAGCCATTAGATGGTTTTCTTATGGAGCCATCCACCACTTAATATGTTGACACATGTCCAAATTGTATTTATTATAGGACACTTATCATTACACTATTGGTGAATAAGTGTCGATGGCTCCATAAGTCGAGCCATTCGATGACTCCATAGCAAAACTGAAGAAAAGAGTGAGATGTGTGGAATGGATAAAATTTTAATCAAAAATTTCAACGGGAATATATATCAACTGAATTCCAACGGAAATTTCAATTGATATCACAATGCTATTAGTTCCATTAGAATTTTCCAATGGATTCCAACGGAAATTTAACAAAAATGTTATGTTGGAATGAGTTTTCCATTGAAATTTCTGTTGGATTTTGGCGATTCCAACAGTACATTTCTCAACGGTTGAAATATGGGTGAAAATAAAGATTCTAATTGAAATTGTATATTCCAACGCAAATTCCTACGGTAAAAAATCGTTGGAATCATGGTCGTTGAAAATTTAGAATGATAAAATCCATCTAAATTCAAATGAAAAATTCATTCCAACAGAAGCTATACCATTGAAATATCCGTTGGATTTTTCGTTAGAATTATGACATTTCTTTTTTTTTTTTTGTAATGTAAATTGTTTAAGAGGAGAGAAATGTTACTTCTAAATGATAAAATCCATGTTAGAGGATATATTGGATTTGTAGAACTTTTTAAAACTTTGAAAGTTTTAATATATTTATTTGTTAAATATTTTAAAAATCACGAGTTATTCAATACGAAATTCAATACCAGATCGACAGCCAGACAAACGAAAAACGTTATGTACTTATCTTGTGCTTCTATTTTTNAATCTGATTATTTCATTTGTCCAGAGATTCCTATGCCCCTTTTTAGTTCTTTTGAATTTGTCTTTGATCTTAAAATGACACTCATTAACAAGATTACTACCCCCTCTGTATTCTTATTTTATTGTGTTTTTTTGGTATTTCCGTATGTGTTTAAGTTGTATTCTTGTTTATTGGAGTATTTTTTTTCTCATTTGGACAGTGTTTTTAGGTGGCAGTTGTTTGTTCCCTTTGATAGTTGGTGGACCTATTTGAGGATCAGCTGATAGCTGATAACAGATAGCTGATTGTATAAGCGTATCGTCGGCAGTTGATTTTAATTATTGCTTTGACTAGCGAATTATATTAATCGTTTGTATTAACTGTTTGGTATAACGCGGACTGTATAACTATTTTGAAAATTTTATGTCAACATATTATTTTACGAATCATGTCTTCCCAAAAACTCTTCTATATTATGTTTTTTTAATAGAATTAGCATTGTGAGTTGAAAAAGTTAATAAAATAAATTTTTTATCAAACAAGTTAATTAATGAATTTAATATTTGATGAATCAAACCTCTAGACGAGGTTTAATCCACTAATTTTTTATCAATCCGCTGAAATTCAAATAAGTCTCGTGTGAATCCAAAGCAATGTGTGTCGAAAAATAATAATAATAATAATAATAATAATAATAATAATAATAATAATAATAGTTAAAAAAAAATATATTACTCCTTAAACCATCCTAACTAGTGATGTCTATCCATCCACACCCCCATTTCCCATATCCATACTCACATCCATTCCAAATCACCCAAACAACACAAACAAACATCACACAAATCTTGTCCACACACACAACACACCACAGACACACACCAATGGCTATTCTCAACTCCCTCTTACCACCCCCAAAACTCACTCCTCCACCCCCAAGCCCAAGCCCATCCTCCAAGCCCATATCCCTCCCCTCCCTTCCCGAGCCCATCCGCCGAGCCGGGCTCGCGGCCCTCCTGTCGGCCTCTCTCTTCCTGGCCCATCCCGGGCCCACACCGGCCTTCAAGGGCGGCGGGCCCTACGGAATGGAGGTTACGAGGGGTCAGGACCTCAGTGGCCGGGACTTCAGCGGCCGGGAGCTCGTCCGGCAGGACTTCAAAACTTCCATTCTCCGGCGAGCCAACTTCCGGGGAGCTCGTTTGCTTGGGGCCAGCTTTTTCGACGCCGATCTCACCGGAGCTGACCTGTCGGGGGCCGATTTGAGGGGCGCCGATTTTTCATTGGCCAATGTGGGGAAAGCGAACTTGAGAGGGGCAATTTTGGAAGGGGCGTTGGCCACGGGGAACACGTCTTTTAAAGGCTCCGACATAACGGGGGCTGATTTTACGGACGTGCCGTTGAGGGACGATCAGCGGGAGTATCTGTGTAAGGTGGCGGACGGAGTTAATCCGGTCACCGGAAATGAGACGAGGGAGACTTTGCTCTGTAAGTAAAAAGGTCAAAGGGGGGAAAAAAGGAGAAAAAAAAAGGGAAGAAATTTTGTGGTTTGTCACTTTGTGTTAATGTGTTATTGAAGGATTTTTTTTACTTTTGAATCTTGGAAAGAGATGAGCAGGATAATAACATTTGATCATGTGGATGAAGAAAAAAAGATGCATATCCTGTGTAAGTCATTTTTGTTGTGTTTATTTGAGCAGGAATTAGGTTAGATCATTCGTTTGAAGGATTTTAACACATGTTAGGTAAACAAGGGCTAAAGAGGAAAACAATTGGGATGTAATGATATACCTATCATACTTAAATTCACACAACCTCTTGTGTAATCGATACTAATAACTAATAAGTAAACAACAAACCAAGTTAGATACAACGATCTTTGAATTTATATATAATATAATTAGCTACTCAAAATGAAAAACACCAAATTCATTTAACAGGGTCTCAAAAGTTCCATCGTTGATAACTCAAACTCGATATAGTCGAAAGGAACAAAAACAATAAAGAGCACCCAAATCATTGAGTCTGAAATACACCAAAAGTCGATACGTAACCATAGCAGCAAGAGATGAAACTCAAGCCACTGCTTTTCTTGTTCTTCTTAAAGAGTAAAAATTGCGAATTAACTAAATAGAAAACGCTCTTCTCACTTCAGTTCACTCTTCGTCTTCTTCATCTCCATCACCACCAGAGGCCTTCTTTGCTGCCGCTTTTAGGTTCTTTCTCTTCACTCTGCCAGCTCGGCCGCCGCCAAATGGACTCGTGAGAGAGAAGTCAATGTGCTTCTGTGAGTCAACTCTCACCATGAATGAAGGCACGTTAACGACCTGCCTGCCAACCCTGGAGTTAAAAGAAAATAATTAGTGCTGACGAATACCACAACTCTCAATGCATGCAGCAGCATAATTAAATTGGGTTCCTAATTAACAATACAGATTTTTTTAGATAGGTCACCAAGCAGCAACACAAAATTGGATCATAGAAGGCAAATTGATAATTCATGCCACAAACTAAACTACAAGCACAATCAATCGCATCAATTGGAAGTTAAAAATGTGGATAAATGCTTAATTACATTAACCCACAAACGTTAGTATTCATCAACCGAAATAGTAGTTCGCTACCCACCTTCAGCAATATCTATAACTTTAGTTAACACATAGATCAAAACTCACAGAAATAACAACGTCCAAGCTCAGAATTGGGTAAAAAGAATAAGAGCAAATGCTAGTCTAGTGAAATCAATATGCTACATCATCCGATATTCCAATTTAAACTTCTAACTACAACAAGAAACTAATAAAAATATAACATTAAATTGAGCCACCAACCTTGGAGTTAAATAATAATTATTAGAGCCGACGAATACTACAACTCAATGCATGCAGCAGCATAATTAAATTGAGTTCCTAATTAACATTACAGATAATTTAGATAGGTCACCAAGCACCAACCCAAGATTGGATCGTAGGAAGCAAATTCATAATTCATGCCACGAACTAAACTAAATGCACAATCAATCACATCCATTGTAAATTAAAAATGTGGATAGAACGCCAAATTACATGAACCTACAAACATTAGTATTCAAAAACCTAAAAAGTAGTCACTCACTACCCACCTTCAGCAATATATTTAACTTTTGTTACACAAAGATCAAAACACAGAAAAAACATCCAAGCTCAGAATTAGGTAAAAAGAAAAAGAACTGAATGCTAGTTTAGTGAAAAACACAGAAATAACAACGTCCAAGTTCAGAATTAGGTAAAAAGAAAAGGAACTGAATGCTATTTTAGTAAATCAATATGCCCCAACATCCAAGATTCCACTTTAAACTTTAAACTATAAGAAACTATTAAAAAGATAAGATCAAACTGAGCCACCAATCGTGATCGATATACCTGATATGCCTTTGCCTGATGAGCACCCTAGCATGATGAATGGACTTGGCCATGCCTGCCTTGAAAACGAGCGTCTGTAGACGGCGCTCGAGAAAGTTCTCCACAGTTAGAGCAAGAACATAATCAAGCTTGTTCTGGCTCTCATCCAGCAGTCCATACCTGTTCATCCTCCTCAGAAGGGCCTCACCCTCGAAAATACGGCGGGGATCTTTTTCGTCGAGGGTCAAAAGGTTCCTAGCATTGTTCCTAATGCGGCTCAGAGCATACTGAACCCTCCAAAGCTCCCTCTTGCACCTCAGACCATACTCTCCAACAAGTTTGAGCTCAGCATCAAGTCTTTCCTTCTCATATGGACGTCGAGGCTTCTTGAAGGTCTTCCCATCTGTAACAAAGCCAAGGCTTATTTTTAAAATAAAAAATTCAACAAGCCAATTCCCTTTATTTCATGTAATTTTCTCTTTGTATTTTTGGATTTTATACTCATAACTGTGTGCTTCGATCAGCTGCTAATAGAATTAGATCACTGGAACTTAACCCTAAACAATATCCCCAAAATTCTCCAAACAATCGAAAAAGAAAAAAAAAAGAAAAAAAAAAAACTACATTCAGATTCCATAGGATTAATCCAGAAGCTACAAAAATATTTCTCAGGAAAACAAAAATCAAAGATAATAAGCATGGAAAACGACGAACACACGGAGAATGGCAGCACAAAAGCACAGAAATGTAAGATTTGCCAATAATGTATGCATATGTGCATCGAAAGCATAGAGAAGAAGCTACGGGGAGCTTACAGTTCCGGTAAAACGAGACGTGCACCATTGTTTTTGTCCTCCGCCGCCGCCGATGCGAATGTTGCTCCGGCGATCTGGTATTGCTGACTGCAGGACAGGGATGCTAGGTTTTGAAATGGAGGAGTTGGGGAGAGCTATATACGCCCTTTATAGGTGGGCTTAAACCCTAATGGGCTTCTACGGGTCGAATCGGGGGTTGGGGAAACAGAAATAGGGTATTATCGTTTAAATTAACAGCCCATAAGAAGAGTCCAAAATCAAAAAGATTGGGCCCCACATAATACATAAAGAACAAAAAAGTGAATGGAAGTGGAAGCTTTCATCTGAAGTATTATCAGAGCCAGGTTTCGATCCTGGGACCTGTGGGTTATGGGCCCACCACGCTTCCGCTGCGCCACTCTGATTTGGTGATTCTAATATGGCATATGTTTTTTTCAACCGCTTCGTTTGTTGAGATGTAATGGACGAATATGTAAAATAGTAGAAGCCTAAAGATATCAAATTCTCGATGAATCTATCATTATATAAAAAAAATAATCATTTTACAAATTTATAAACTTTTTCCCGCCAAAATCATTAAATATATCATACATATAATAATTATTAAACAAATCTGAATAGGCAAAAAAATCGACTCTTGTGTAAAAATTTGTTTCTTTTTTTTCCTGTTTTTTAGTTTATCGAAACCGTTGTTTGACAATAAATATTTATTTTTCTTTTTCTTATTTTTAATATAAATCTACACGAGCTTATCTGTTACAAAATCTCATTACATAAGTCTCACGTCTCATCCCTTATCTATAGAGATTTGAAAAAATAAAATAAAATAGAAATCAATTCATAATTACTACTAAAAATTCATTATCTACTTTAAGAAGCTAATTTTCATTGGTCTAATTACAAATATTTTTACAAATATTATAAGCTAACCATACAAAAAAGTATAATAATAATTTTGAAATAGTTTGTAATCAATTTTTTTTATATTCTCTTATACAAAATAATTTTACATTGTTTGACCCCGAATCTTATAATTATTAAGTATTGTTTATCCTCCTCTTTAATTTATAATTATTTTTTTTCCTCTTTTTAAATAGGATCAATAGTAGTTTCCACTTCCGCCATTGACTGACTCAAACTCGAGGTCTATTTATAATATTGTTCCCGTACATCGCACGGGTACAAACTAGTATTTTTCTAATCTAAGGGAAATTTTTCCTACATGTGTGGCTGTGACAGTTCAACAAACTTACTATTAAAGTTTAGAAACACTATTATTTCTAATTGAAGTTCTCTACAATATAATGTAATAAATCATTAACACATAATAAATGACTAACAAATCATTTACAGATAATAAATGACTATGTAAAAAAATTTAAATATAATTATTTTTATTAATATTTTCAATATGGATGTCTTCTTATAAACCATAAAATAATCAATGTAATATATCGCATTAAATTCAGTGAGGAACAAATAAAAATATTGGACAAAATAAATATTCGACAAAAATATAGAAATAAAACACTTGCCTTATATTATAATAAAAAAAAATTACATTTTTTGACAAAATTGAATAAAAATAGACTTCTCACCAAATTTAACAAAGGAAAAAACTATATTGCATTACCATAACGATTTACATATTATTTTAATAAAAAATACACATGACAACCATCCATATTGCACTTGTTATCATTATAGTTCTAAAATCCACAATCTAAATTTTCTCAATTCATAATTTGGTTAGCCAATTGTTAATATTCATTCAATTGCTATTTAACGGTAAATTATCAATGAATACTTTATTCTTTTATTTAATCTATTGGAATCAATGTGGATCTGGTTGTGTATCAATTCAGCCCAAAAAACCCAATCAAAACTAGAATTTAACTCAATTATAACACAACACCACTATTCTCAATATTATCAATATCTTTAAATAATATCAACAAATTATTCAATTTTAATTCACTATTCATCAACTCACATAATTTTAACTATAATCAGTTCCAATCATTTTTCTCCTACTTTTACATAAAGTCAACTTTAATTATTTTATTTTAAATATTATTTTAATATACACAAAAAAACAACTAACCGTGCTACCTTTCTTCAAAATTAAGTATAATTAAAAAAACTAATTAAAAACTAAATATAATTAAAAAAACTAATTAAAAACTAGTTAGAATCCAATCATCCCCTACATGTTTATTTCACAATTATTTACAACTTTAAATTTATTTTATTTTTATTTTTTACAAAATTAATCGCAAATTGGGTTTGGTATTGGCCATAATTACAAATTTGCTTTTGGGCCATAAGTACATTGGTTGAGAAAGGGCCGTTCAACTTTTTGGGTTGGCCTGTTAGCCTCAGAAAATCCATTTCTCCCACAAAAATCCTCACTTTCGATTTGCGTCGTCTACCTGGGGAGCAGCTGAGAGGGACGACAATGGCGACGGAGCTGGAGGAACTCCTGGGCTTCCTCGCTTCTCCCTCACCACCTGTAATATCTACTCTCTTAACTTAAATCCCGTCGAATTAGTTCATATTTTTCGTAGTTTTTGTTTTTTGGAGCGAATTCACTTTGTGATGAATTGTATATAGTGGTTTGAATCGTATGCATACGCCTTTCGCTCTTTTTATTACTGATTTGATGTAGATTTTTTTCTTATTTATTCTTGTGATGCTTCGTTTTAGATTAAAAAGGTTGCTGTAAACATTGTTCGGGATTATACGGGGTCGGAGGATGGGCTTCGGTCTCTGGGCAGATACTTCGGTGTTGCCGTCCCTTCGTTGTCTCGACTTCTTTCTGAAAAAAAGGTTCTCTTTTCCATTTGCATTTGCCCTTTTGCTGAAAAGTAGGTTCGTTTGTTGGTAAAAGAATATCGGGTTTTTTCTACTCAATGTAATTATCTGCTCAAGGGACAGAAGTAGGCTACTTTATATAGACTTTAGTTCGTTTGTTAATTCTAGTTTTAATTGAAGCTTGGTAGATGTTAAAAGTCCTCACTTTTACTCTTTCTCTGTATGTGTTTGTGTTTGTTAGAGACTGATACATTTAAAGGCATATCAGTTCGATTAAGTCCATCACAGACTTCTATCCTCTATCATAATTGATTCTGTGTATGCTTCGTTTTCAATTGACCATTCTGAAGATTGAAGTAAAATAGTTTTATTTCTTCCATATTGTTCTATGCCTTGTGTTTTCTTGAATTCGGGTATTCTATTATGTGCAAAAAACAAACACAGAATAAATTTTCCATTGCTTGTTATTCGTTTTTTTAACCATTATTTCATTGCTGGACCTAATTTGGTTTCATTGGTTCAGGATGTGTCGGAACCTGCTGCACAAGCCCTTGTTAATTTGTCTCAAACTCCAGATTTAGCTGGAAAGATGATCGAGATGGGTATAATTAGAAAAGTGATGGATATTCTGTACAAGCAAGGCTGTGAAATCACACAATTGCTTGTTATGCTCCTTGTTAATCTCACACAGTTGGATGCTGGTATCGAATCTTTGCTTCAGGTGCCGTTTATCATCTCCTATATATATATATATATATTCCTCCAGCTTAATGGAAAAATAAAGAGCAGTTTCTTGTTGAAGGTTGTAAATTTTTTACAAGATTGTACTTGATCCTGCTAAAGGTTCCACTTTTGGATTAATGAAATGAGTTTAGAGACAAAATAATGTTATATGCACTTGTAATAGAAGATCGATTAACCGGTATTAATATAATATGCTGGACATTTTTATCCTGGGTGCCAGCAAGAAGATGAGAAGATGTGTGGTCTATATATCATGAAGTTGGTGAGATCATTCTGTACATCGCCTAGTGAGAATAAAGGTGAATTCTCAGTTTTCATTATAATTCATTTTTTTTTTTAATCTTTTTGTGTTTCTCTTGGGTTTCATCTCTAGCCTACCCCGACTTGCTTGGGACTAAAGGCTATGTTGTTGTTGTTGTAATTGGTGGGAAATTTCAAACCATGTTGCTTATTTTATGTTTTGGGTGTAGTATATGTAAATGTAATTGATTTTGTTATCCACTTTCTCCTTGCAGAAAAGTAAGAAAATATATATATATATTTTGGATTAGAAGTCGTTGTGAATTAATTATCTTTGTATTTTCATGCGTATATCAGGTGACCCATTTGAACACGTGGCTTCAGTACTTGTAAACATTTCGAAGAAGGAAGCAGGAAGAAAGCTTCTACTGGACCCTAAACGAGGACTTTTGAAGCAAATTATTAGACAATTCGATTCACCAAGCCCATTGAGAAAGAAAGGGGTAATTAATTTATTTTTTCTCATAAAAAATTCAAGACTTTCCCATATATACTTAGCTACATTTCCTTCTTTTATCCTTTGTGTTTTATTAATTTGATCAACTCTGCCTTCTTCTTAAAGGTCTCGGGAACTATTCGAAACTGCTGTTTCGAAGCTGAAAGGCAGCTGCAAAATTTGCTTTTGATATCGGAATTTCTCTGGCCCGCATTACTGCTTCCAGTTGCTGGAGATACGGTAAAACCATAATTATGGTTAAAAAATATTTCTTTACACAACTACTTGAGATATGAGCTGTGTGCATATATTTATAAATCTTACGCGTTTAAATTTGGACTTTTTACAGATTTATAGTGGACAAGACACGTCTAAAATGCCCCTAGAGCTAGCAAGTGCCCTCTCAATCCAACGTGAAACAGTGACCAATCCTGAAATTCGCATTCAAGCACTTGATGCTATATACTTGCTCGTCTTACAGGTGAAGTGGCTTTCTCATTGGGTTTGGCCAAAAACCTATTTTCTGGGATTAAATCTGAAAATCGGTGGTTGTTTTGTATATGGTCATAACTAGAATTGGGCAATTGCACATAATCTTGGTTTAGTGGTATTTTAAAACCTGTACTGTTTATGTTATTGCTTGTCTATTTGATTTTTCCTAGTCATAGTCATTTTAGCTCTCATTGGTAGAGTTATAGCTTACAGTACTTCCTAGTTTGAAAGGTTCGAAGAATATGTCGTATTTTGGCCGAACAACTAAATTGAACTATTGCGGTTAGTTGCTCATCATGTTCATGCACACTCTTGTCATTATTAACAAAATTGCCTTAAATTGTATCTTAATTACAGAAACCTCCAGTTATCATTAATAACTACGAATAACTCCTCAAACTGCAATTCGCGGAAGAGAGTATGAAATCCAAAAGACAATTCTTTTTTTTTTTATTATTTGAAAACATTAGCGGATGTTTTAGGCTATGTTTGGTTGACAAATAAGCTAGCTTATAGCTTATTTGGTTAGCTTATAAGCTCCCTGTATTCAAATAAGCCTCGTTTGGTAGGACGAGCTTTTATAAAAAGCTCGAGCTTATTTGATAAGCTTCTTTAGGTAGCTTTTCAAATAAGGTAGTTGGATTTGTTATTCCAGCTAGCTTATTAGCTAATTTTATCAAACACTTTAATCATATAAGCTAGCTTTTCAGCTATAAGTATAAGTTATAAGCTAAAAAATTACTGATAAGTTATAAACTAGCTTATCAGCTAGTTTTACCAAACATAGCCTTAGTAAGAACCCATTTTACTTTGTGTTTGTCACTTTATGATATGAAACTGCATTCGGTACTAAATATAAAGGTAAAATAGCAACTTTTTATGATTCTTTCTTCTTCTTTTTTTTTTTTTTTTTATTTTTTTTTTCCAGGAAGCTGGAAGAAGAGCTTTCTGGTCGATTAATGGGCCCCGGATACTACAAATAGGTTACGAAGATGAGAAGAATCCTCAAGTAATGGAGGCATATGAACGAGTCGGCTCATTGGTAAGTATAAAAACTTTTTCTTTCCCTTAACGAAAATGCATTATGATTTGTTTGCCAGTATTCTAATATGCATGTGCTTATCTGGCAGCTGGTTCAGGAAGTAGACTATGGATCGACTGAGGACTCGAAACCAGTAATGTGATAAGTGGCTTCTGCTCATTAGCTCGTTTTTTTTTTTTCGGTTGGTTTGCAAATTTGGTTCGATTCTTCATAATAACTACGAAGCATAACTCGATTTCACTCTTGTTGTGTGTTCATGTATGAAATCCAAAGATTCCTTTTTATTTGCTTGCTCAACTTATGTTCTTATGAAGGGAAAATAATGAAATTGAGAACTATAGGGGGAAAATAATAAAATCCAGGAGCCAATTTTTACACTTTTCAAATCTTTTTGTATATTAGGGGTCAATTTATAATTTCCAAATCTTTCGTTGTTGTATCTACCCCGATGGGTACGTTTTTCCAGATTTTCACCCTCCAATTTTTAGAAACAAAACTTGATTCATATTCAGTATTTCTAGAAAGATTATTAAAATTATCCTCAAATAAGAAAACTTTGTCTGTGTTAATAAAAACAAATGACTGCGGAAAAACCACTAAACTTCCTTCTAGTCTAGAGGCTACAAGATATTTGAATCCAACTTTGTTAAGAGGGTAGTATTTGTTTTGTACTCCCTCCATTTTGAAATATAAGGCATTTAAGGTTATTGCACAAATATTAAGGAGGCATTAATTAATGAATAAATTGACTAAATTAACCTTATTTATTCTAATCACAACCACTCCACACTTCCTTAATTTCAACACAATGAGGGTATATTTGGAAAAAAATGCAAAAATTTGTCTTGATTTTTGAGCGCGCCTTATATTTCAAAAAAAATGAGAAATCTTTATACGCCTTATATTTCAAAATGGAGGGAGTAATTGACTTTTGGGGCCTGAATGAGTGGTTTGATCGTGTATTAGAGGTTCCACCGACATAATCTCTAATTTAAGTTTTTAATACTAGTGATTTAAATAGTTTTGTTTTCAATTAAAGTCAACTTTGAAAAAGTTCAAAATATTATTTGTTTGGAATAAAAATTATAAAATTAATTATTTTTTATATATCAAATAACTAATTATTTAACAAATATCTATATGCCAAACATGGTGATTAATTGACAGGTATAAAAGCTCTCATTGATAATAAAGAGTTAGAATATTAAAAATAACCATAAAGTATAACATTGAATTGAAACATATATAAAATAACAAGTACCGTGAAATAATTTTCCCATGGACCAAGGACAAATGCCATATTATAATGAGGAATATTTTAAAAGTCAGTAATGGCAGGCCCCATGATGTCTAATTCAACTCTTTTGAAAATATCTTATCCTCTTTTTTTTTTCTTAAAAAATAATATTATTATAAAAGATCATTAATTAGGTTGACTTAAGCATGTTGTACTTGTTTTACAAGTACGCATACCTTTAGTTAACAAAAGAATATATTTTAAAAATCTAACATAAACAAAAATATGGGAGTGGCTAAAGTCCCGTGCCGGTATGGTGCCGTTGTGCAATTTTACACCTCACGATTTTAGTGGATGTTGCTATCCGTTGGATTGCATGTAACACCACAATAAATAGGTGGAGATGAAAGCACACAATAACTCTCCCAGCACTTGTACAATTTTATTCTTTATAATTTATGTTTAGTTAATTTTGCCATAAACAACGTAAGAAAAATATATAGTATTAATTAACGATATATATATATATATATATATATATATAGTATTAATTAACATGAACCATAATTATAAACTACATTTTTTTAAATATGATGAAACATGTTTGTACTATTTTTGTTACGTTTTTCGTTATTGTTTTGTAATTCTTTTTCCCCTGTTTTAAGTCTTTTTGTTAGTTTTTAGTTAGTTTTGTGTTTTATTATGTATTTTGTTCCATTTTGGTTTTCTTTGTGTTTTTCGTGTGTTTTTTCCAGTTTTTCTTCGTTTTTGGTGTGCAGGTTGAAAGTCTCGTGAGGAGTCGATTATAGACCAGGCAATCATGGTGGACTTATTGGCTACACATAGGAAAAACCGGAATTTGATTTCGAGTTCGGATGAATCCGGACGGAACCAAAATGCGAAGCCACGCAAGTTACCGACCCTTTTAAAAGTTGGAAATTCCACAAAATATGTATCCTGGGCAAAAGTGTGGTTTTAAAGCATCGTTGGATAGAGGGGTTTGTTAGCTAAGCGTAGGAAAAAACGGAACTCAATTCCGAGTTCGGACGAGCCAAAACGAGCCAAAAACGTAAAGCCGCGCAGTGCAGTCGCGAGAAGGCCGCGAGTTGGCAACGATTTTTCTCACTTTTCTTCACTTTTCTTCCTTTTTCTCCTTGGTAGATGATGGTTGTTGATGATAGTGTTGACAATGGTTGATAGTGTTGATATTGGTATGCTACTTATCATCTATAAATACCCACTTCATTCATCATCCAAACCATCTCCTAAAAATCCAAATTAATCACAATCCAAATTTATCACAATCCTTTAATCCTTCCTCTACTTTCACTTAGTGTGTTTCTAGATTAGTTCTTGTGTTGAATTTTGGAGGTGTTCTCCAAGGCTTGTACTTGTTCCGGTTTGGCGTGTATTTATTCTCAGTTTGGCGTTTGTATCAACTTTATTCATCAACTTGGATTACATGTAAGTTTTCTTTCTTGTAATTATAATTTGCAATGAATCTTATGTTGAGTTTATTTTTGATATGAATAGCTAAATCATTAGCTAGGGGTAGGGAATAATTATTCCGGTTTAAGCTCGTTTATACGCATGTTGATAATTCCATCTTGACGAGTTGTTTTAATCATGAATTAATAAATTAAACTTGGTAAATCTTTATAACCTAAGAGTGACACTTAGGTTAATTTTATGATATAATCAAAGAGTGACACTTTGATTTGTGCTTGATATTGATTTATTAAGTTAAAGTTTGTTAATTTTGTGAATTACAATTTGTAGAACCGAGAGGGGAGGAGTTGTAAAAAAATAATCTATTTCATAACCGAAAGGGGAGAAATTGATAGAACTTGGCTCGTTTAGAATAGACATGTTCGGAGACGTATTGTCTATGTGTTAATTGTTTCGTTAATTTGCTCGTTTATGTTTTTCCATATATTACGAGAGTTAGTATGGTTGAACTGCTAAATGAGTTAGTTAGTTGAACTACTTAACCGAGTTATTGATTGTCGTTGAATGAGTGTAAAACCGGAAGTGATTTATTCCCGATTCCCTAGCTTCTTTATTATTGTATTGTTTATATTTTTAGGTAGATTATTATTGTTATTTCTTAGTTGATATTTTAGTTAATTATTATTCAATCCATTTTGATTAGAGTGTTTAGGATTTATTTTCATTATTTTCCGTAATAGACGTATAAGTTAATCGACATCAATATTAAATTCCGAACAGTCTTCCTCGAGAGATCGACCCGGGAAACACTTTGATTTTATCATAAAATTAACCTAAATGTCACTCTTAGGTTATAAAGATTTACCAAGTTTAATTTATTAATTCATGATTAAAACAACTCGTCAAGATGGAATTATCAACATGCGTATAAACGAGCTTAAACCGGAATAATTATTCCCTACCCCTAGCTAATGATTTAGCTATTCATATAAAAAAATAAACTCAACATAAGATTCATTGAAAATTATAATTACAAGAAAGAAAACTTACATGTAATCCAAGTTGATGAATAAAGTTGATACAAACGCCAAACTGAGAATAAATACACGCCAAACCGGAACAAGTACAAGCCTTGGATAACACCTCCAAAATTCAACACAAGAACTAATCTAGAAACACACTAAGTGAAAGTAGAGGAAGGATTAAAGGATTGGGATAAATTTGGATTGTGATTAATTTGGATTTTTAGGAGATGGTTTGGATGATGAATGAAGTGGGTATTTATAGATGATAAGTAGCATACCAATATCAACACTATCAACCATTGTCAACACTATCATCAACAACCATCATCTACCAAGGAGAAAAAGGAAGAAAAGTGAAGAAAAGTGAGAAAAATCGTTGCCAACTCGCGGCCTTCTCGCGACTGCACTGCGCGGCTTTACGTTTTTGGCTCGTTTTGGCTCGTCCGAACTCGGAATTGAGTTCCGTTTTTTCCTACGCTTAGCTAACAAACCCCTCTATCCAAAGATGCTTTAAAACCACACTTTTGCCCAGGATACATATTTTGTGGAATTTCCAACTTTTAAAAGGGTCGGTAACTTGCGTGGCTTCGCATTTTGGTTCCGTCCGGATTCATCCGAACTCGAAATCAAATTCCGGTTTTTCCTATGTGTAGCCAATAAGTCCACCATGATTGCCTGGTCTATAATCGACTCCTCACGAGACTTTCAACCTGCACACCAAAAACGAAGAAAAACTGGAAAAAACACACGAAAAACACAAAGAAAACCAAAATGGAACAAAATACATAATAAAACACAAAACTAACTAAAAACTAACAAAAAGACTTAAAACAGGGGAAAAAGAATTACAAAACAATAACGAAAAACGTAACAAAAATAGTACAAACAACTAAGTAATCTCATAATTATGCATGCTTAGGCGTCATTTTAGGTGTGTGTTTGTGTCGATTTCCCCATATGAAGCTTAATGTTTGTTTTAAGTCAAAATGACTAAGTGGTTAGTTTGGATTGTCGTTTGGTTTCATTGATAATTCTCATGCTCGATGTACTTGATGAATTTGACGGTTCCCTTAAAATTAAATGAAGATTTGTTGACATTGGAAACCACAATTGTGTTCGAAAAAATTGTTTTGTCCCTTGTTTATTCTCGATTGGTGATATTGAAACAATCTTGTCTTATGTTCGATTATTGTTAACGTGTTATGCTATGATGTTCATGTTATTATATTCATGATGTATCCTTGTGTTACCATCCCTTTAAAAAATAAAAAAAAAATAAAAAAAAAATGTGAATAAGATGTGAGTTCGCAAGGAAGTACGAATTAGGCTCCTATTGTTTCGGTCCATTTTATGGAATGAGATAATGAGCCCGGGAAACCGGTCTAGAAAACTCAAGGAAAACCCTCGAGGCTAAACCTAGATAATAATCATTCGGAAACCTTGTTTGGAAAAATGTAGCTCACGGAAAAAAAAATAAAAAAGAAAAAAAAATGAGCTCGTGAGAGTTGAAAGGATTAGACTCCGCTTGATCTGAATAATCTCACTCGAGATAGATATGGTCAATGAGTATGGGAAACCGGCCTAGGACACTCGGGGACAAACTCTGAGGGTAAACCTAGGTAATTATTGTCCTAATGACTCTCATTTGGAAAAAACGACTCATTAAATAGAAATAATAAAAAGAGGGAATTGGACTTTTGGGTTGGTTCTTATTGTTTCCTACATATTGAGTAAACCATTTATAGCTTTTTGCACGTGTATTTGTAAAAAGGAAGTTTGAATTAAGTAAATCATTTGTAGAATAACTTGGGACGAGTTTTTGTTTCGTTTGAACTCATTTTGTGGGGACCGTGTTTTCAAATTCGAGTTGAGTTTTATGGATAACCGGAGGAAGACGAGAGTTTCATTTTGCATGATTATTAACTTTGGACTTTTCGATATTTCTTCTCGAATTGCTTGTTGTTTTGTTTGCTTGAG